CAAATTAATGGATACTAAGATCTACCATCTTCTTAATAAAAGATAGCTTCTTCCTCAAGTCTCGGAATTTTCCAGACACTCACACAGTGCGATTAATTGTTGGTTTTGAGTATAAGATTGGGCTCCCATTTCGTTATGGTCAAAGATTTGTGTGGGCTTGGCCTATGACACCTGTAGATAAGACCTTTGCAACAGCAGAAAGAGGGAGACAGCTAACACAGCAGCTATACAAACCGTTTTAGCATACTTCTTAAAATATGTTAGTAGAGAATGAACATACAGAAAAATAAGTTTAAAAAAAAAAAACATACAGAAAAATATTATGCAGTACACTATTCATTTTGTAAATAGGGGAATAGTAAGGTAAATACTTCTCACGCAAACTTTAAGGAGTATTTGCATTTAAGGGTATTTCCAACTCCACTATATTTTTTATTTTAAAATAGAGTTTGAAGTCAAATTTGCTTCAATCCTATTTCATTTTTAACTCCAAAATGGAGTAGAAAATAAGTTTACTCCAAATATGGTATAATCTCATTTATCACATCATTTTTTACTTCAAAATGGAATATAGTTGAAGTAAAACACAATTCTAATTTAGATTTACTCTATTTTGGAATTTAAAATAAAATTATGGGTTGGAAAGTTTTAAGGGCATCTCCAATCTCATTCCATTTTTCACTCCAAAATAATTTTGAGTCATATTTGCTCGAATTTTATTCTATTTCCAACTCCAGAATGGAGTAATATGTAGGTTTACTCTAAGAGCATTTCCAACCCATTACTCCATTTTTTACTCTAATATAGAGTAATTCTAAATGGAGTTGAATTTTACTCCAATCTTACTCTATTTTGGAGTAAAAAATAGAGTAAAGAACAAAAAAAAATGGAGTGAAAAATAGAATTACTCCATATCTGAAGTAAATTCATTTTTACTCCATTTTGGAGTTGGAAATGGAGTAGGGTTGGAAATTGTTTTACTTTAAACTCCGTTTTGGAGTAAAAAATGGAGTGGGGGTTGGAGATACCCTTACTATTCCATATTCTTACTCTTCACTTCATCAGACAATC